GGCTCCCAGAAACTATGGGGCATACAGGCATAGGCGGTAAGCAGAAATTTAAGTAAATCTTGAATAATATCTCTAATCAAGCTGAATGGCATAAGTTGATGATGGGCTGGTAGTTGTATTTGGCAATAATTATGTGAGCAGGTGACCTGATACCAGGGCACTTTACGTAGATATTCCACCGCCCACCGCGGGACTCGAATCTCGGATCGTGAGTATCGAGGCGATGTCTATCAGTCCAATACACAGCAACGGGACGGATGGGATATTTAAGGCAAGCCAGGCAAGTGGGATCGTCGATTGGGCTGACATGTGTTTTGTCATTGCGATCGACGACACTGATTAACTCTGATTTGAGTAGTTTTCAAGGCAGATAACTGAAATTTATGCAATGAAATGATTAGAAGGTTCCTAAAAAAAGGCTGGTTGCACCCCGCCTATTTCTCATCAGCGTCTTTAACGGGACTCGAAGTAGGGTGGGAAGTCTTGACGGCAATATTCACAAATAAAAGGTGGATTTCGAAGAACTCCTTGGCGATTTAGTGTGAATCAACTTTTCATTATGAATAAACAATTGGTTTGAAAGAATTCGTGGATTCGTCTCATCGCACGTTGACACACGATTACTTCGTAATAAAGACGGTTAGATTGTGAGCAGACGTTCTCGGCTTGCGTCCTGTTTCGGTTTCCGGTATTGTGAATTGTGTGCATGCAATGCTCAATTTATGTGATGTGTGCAAGGCCTAAACAAAGCAGAGGCAATTCCAGCCTCTTTCTCTTGTTGGCAATTTTTCTTGTTCATTCTTGCCATCCCTAAATCTTTCCAAAGCCCAGAAATTGTTCACACTCTATTGTCTACCATCATTTCTTCCATTCACTGTGTCAGCTTTTTGTAAGTATGCCCATAGTCCCTCTTACCTAAGCCTACCATACACTGTTTTGCACTATTCTACTACCCTTCCTCCATTGGTCGTGTGCTCAGCTGGTCCAGATTTTTACATCCTTAGACCTGTACAGCAGATTTCGTGTTTTGATAGTCTCTTCTGAGTAAGTCGGGAAGTCTTCTTTACATAGAGATGGCTTCTTTGTACCATTCAACAGTCTTCACTTCATGCCAGACCACTTTACGAATTCCTTCCAACCAACTTTGCCAGCAAAGGTCATACTCAAGTTACAATAAACGACAATATTGCCGCTCTCTCTCTCACAGCGCCGGCGCCATTGGGCAGAAGTGACTTTTCAGGCAAGTCAATGATGCACCTTTTGGGTCACTAGGCGGAACTAGTATAATTTGTGTGATAATTTATAGCATAATCGGTAATTAAGTAACTTTCCCAACTTCTGGTGTATCTTTCTGGAGGCAATAATAACACAAGGCCTCCTACACACTTCATTGTGGGATCATCATTATGTCTAGCATTAAACTGGTTTTTTAATCAAGTTTAACTCAGTCTTTCGTAGTCAACCTGCTTGTTAAATAGAAAGTCACTGCAATGACTGTATCCGCCGGGGTGGCCGGGAGGTGGGGACATACGACATTGAGAAGCACATGCTGCATACAATTGGGCAACACAGAATCCCAACTCATACATGCCGCTCACGAGCCGAGGCATTCGACAGACTAAAGTGAAGGAATCCGCCAGATAGTTGACATTCGGTGGGATATAATCCGAGTCGGTCGACAGAAGATAGGTTGCTATTGGAACGAGATGAGAAATTGGGAAAAAATTGTGTGTGTGTGTGTGTGTGTGTCATAAATGAAGCCAAGTAGAGGTATTCAATAAGCTTTTTCCCTTGACTTTCTATGTCTTTACGCGTTGGCGATACGGACAGGACCACCTGAGAATGCAATTGTGGCTTGTTCGATGCAGAGCGCAAACACATGGACAGCCGAGGATGAATTGTCTTCTTCCAGATCGTCCTAGGCCATGAAATCGAGATCAAACCATGCCTTGCAAATAACATCCGATGGAAGGTGGGAAATCTAAGAGCAAATAGCTACACATTTACAAATGTCGTCATGGAGATTACAATTAATGGTCCTTTATTTTGGTTAAATTGCCCTTCCGTAATAGAGTCTTGATCTAACCTCGTTTTAGTAAATTGTTACGATTGTCAAACCGACTTCAACATGCCGACCCTGTTCGGAGTCCTCGGCCTTTGATGTCATGGCCTCCTCCAGCATCGCAACGTTGAATGGGCACATTCCAAGTCTTTTCTCGGTGCTAAAACTGCCGATTACGATACCTGCGGAACGTCAACATTCGGCCGTCTTGAGAGAACATGACAATAATCATGTCGTACGTGATGCAAGATGCACATTTTTTCCCATAACCAAGGGTCATGCTTTGAAGAGACAAGTCAGGCCTCTGAAAAAAGAATCACTTGGACCGCATATCAACAGCGCTAGAGTTACCAAGCCACAACACATTTGCAATATTTCACGGCTTTTGGTGGACTTTTCTTTCCTCTGCCTCTTTGCGCATACTCCTCAATCAGAGATAGCTTGAAAGTCGAATTTTCCGTTAGAAGCACCATTTATTGGGGCTGTGTAACTTAAACGGTAGCACACATCTCGTTGGGTGTGCTGAGGTCGTTTTGACGAGGTCAAAGTGAGCCCAGCGATGGCGGAGAAAGCAGAGCCACATTCTATTTTAGTAAATATCAACTCTTCTCTCCAGACTACTCGCGAGTAGTGCATAGGCACTGCAATTCGCACAATACTGCAAGAAGCCGATTTGGGCATCAAACGTAGACTATGTGAGATGTGACAAGGTGACAAGGGGACTGTAGATGAAACGAAAAATTAAGAAATGTAGTCGATTGTTATAGAAAAAACAATTTTGCTTCATACACAATCCCAACACG